TAGTCATGCTGTTTTCATAAAAAAGATTAGCCAGGCTGGCTCTTCCTAAGACAGAGGAGGTAAGAACAGAATCAATCAACGAAGCTCTTCATACCCTTCTGCAGAACATTCCCCTACGTATTTATTAATGCTGCAGCAACATCAGCCACTATGGTCCCATCCTGCAGATTCTTCCATTGGAGAACAGCCCCCTGAGCATACAGAGCAATTAACTACCAGATTTCACCCTCTCCAGGATATATAAATGCTCCATAATGGAAGAGCTGATGAATTTGCATGTACAGTAAGCCCTTGGCAAGGGATGGCAGAGATGAAAGACTCCTTCCAGCCCTCTCCTGCCCTACACCTTCCATATCTCTGCTAGCAGTGCCAAGCTTTGCACTAACGATTAGGATTATCGGAGATGGAAATAATTTACCTGTTAAGAACGATTATGGGTAACCTCAGTGCCAATGGGCAAATGCTTCCAATCAGATTGCAAATCCCAGCTTTTATCCAATATTAATCTTCCTACTCCATTTTTAAATTCCCCATTTTGTCTATGCAGAAATGTATATAAACTTGGATCTAAAAGCCACGATGTGCCACATTTTCACTCAGTTAAAAAGCACAACTTGGACACTCAAAATACAGACGGTGACTGAGAAAAGCAAACTGAAAACCTTCAAAAGACGAAAATACTCCACGGGGGGTATACACCTGGTCATCTGCTCCACATCCTGCCACAGCAAGTTGTTCCAGCAGGTATGATGCATTACAGACTTCAGTTCCCGGACTAATTTTACATATTCACAGAAAGACATCACGTTAGTCTACAGCTTAAACTGACAGGAAGTTTTCCCTGATCCAGTCTGAAGTATTTCATTCCCTGATTCCTAGTCACCTCTGCCCTTTTGTACCTCATTAACTAATTCCTCTGCAGCTTCACAATTTACACTCTTTAAAAGTGCTGAATGGCTATGTTGTACCCAACAGCTGCTGCTTAGCTAGATATATGCAGCTTTTCTAATAGACCTAAGTCTATCAACGTACATCTGTGCACATCAACGTCTCTCTAAGCTGATTGTACTGCTCTTCCCTCAACTTCGTGAGTATTGTTCCAGCACGCATGCAGGCAAACGAACCCTCCAGCAGCCCTCCCTCAGGCTCACTGTGAGGTGGGATGAAACTAAGGTTGGCACACGTAGCCCAAATTAATTCTGGCCTTTATTTCACACCACCATATACTTTTTGATGTTCACTTTCTAGCCTCTTACAGTTTTATTTTAAGGGTTTTTAATAGGTTATTCCTAGATAACACAAACAGGTCCAAATACCTTTACAAACACTAGAAAAGCCTTTTCTATACAATAAATCTTTGCATCGTTTTGGGGCACTCTAGCATAACTGCATGCCATTTTCCACCTAGTATGCACTCAGTGAAGCAAAGTCTGAACATACTTACTCATCTTCACACAGTCTTTTGGTCAGAAATCTCAAGCAACTCTAAGAAGAGCTCAACTATAATTTTCTGTGTTACTTCTACTAATAATTTCTACCTTTCTGAGGCCTTTCATTTGAAGGCCCTGGTATACTTTATATATAAAGTATATATATATTTCCTCAGAAGATCAGGAAAGCAAAGAAAATTTCAAAACTATTTCACCCAGCACGGAAATGGAGCTTTTTGGACAGCAGTAGCAAGTTTTGAGGGCAAACAACATCATGCAACAGTACAGGGAACAGAAGATCAGAGAATATAATATTCTGTTGAATTGCAGTGTAATCCTGATAGAGAATTAAAGGATTTGGAATGGGCCAGAACACTGGAATTAGCATCAGTACTTTTCTCAAAAAAAAAAAAAGCTGTGAAATCCTACCAGTCAGAACGGGTCAGAACTTCTCCCTTATATCACATCCACCACAATCAGCATAGCAACACTGTCAGCTGGAGCTGATTGAAACAGCAACTAGGTCAGGTTTTTGTTGTGCGTGTTCCCAGTGGCTAGCAGGCAATCTTGTCATCTATGTTATTTCAACCAAGTTCTAACCTGGCCTAACCTTGGTTTGTGAAATCCAATAAGATCATAGCACAATCTGGCATGGCTGCAAGCAATGTTCAGTCACACTGATACAAAAGTCCCCAGGGAGCATAATCTGGAAG